CTCTGGAGAAGATCCGAACCAAAGCGTGAATTCTTTCTTGGAACGGGTTGAAGAGCTCAGTGTGAGTAGAGGTGTTGATGCCCAAATGTTGTATGAGGGAGCCGTAGAGTTATTTGAAGGTAGAGCTTTAGTTTGGTATCGTGCCAATAGGAAAAACTTGTTGAATTGGACCAGTTTGTGTCAGGGTTTAAAGGAAGAATTTCTGCCTCGAAACTACAACGAAAGACTTTGGGAACAGATTAAACACAGAACGCAGGCGCGAGACGAATCCATTGGAATTTATTTGTCATACATGAATAACTTATTTAGTCGGTTAAATTGTTCAGTATCCGAAAAAGTAAAGTTGCAAGTTATTCGAAGAAATTTACATCCCGTATATCAAAATAAATTATGTTTAGAAGATATCGATACTGAAAGTGAACTAGTTAGATTGTGTCGTAAAATTGAAGAAACTCAAATACAAACCGATGAATATGTTGCACCCCATCGTATATCAGACGATATTGAAAAGGATTTAGCCTATCCTATACATAATAATCGACGATTTACAACAACAGCTAATTCAGAAAAGAAGACATCTACAGATAATAGACGACCTATTGTGACCGTTAATAGAGAAAGCCCTAGTTCGTCACGAAATAATGTTACTCATAATCGAAATTCNTTTTTTTACATCACTGTTTTATTTACTCACACCCGTCTTCACTGAATTAGCCGTAAGCACCCGCAATAGGGTTACATATATTTTTTTTTTGTGTCACAACTTTAGAACTTATCAAAATAATGACAATAATACCAGTACACATCAAAACCAATCTAATAGGTTTAGTAGTTTCAAAGGTAGAAATAATTTCAGACAGAATAGTTTCAGAAATCGCGGCAGTAATTTTAATAATTTTCGAGAAACACAACGAGGTCGCGAACATTTCAACAACTCGAACAATAATAGTAGAAGTGTTTATACTGCACAAGAATTAAATAATATTAATTCAAAAGTAAATGAGGAAGAAAATCAATTATTTCGGTCCTAAAGGTGATTGATAAAATCCTAAAATTATACGGTGCAAAGTTTATAATTGTTAATTTCAAAAACAATAAATTAAAATTATTACCTGATATTGGAGCTTCAATTAGCGTTATCTTTATGTCTTGTACGTCGGATTCAGATTACAATAATAACAAAAAGAAATGCATAGAGATAAAAGGAATATCGGGTTCCACTTTATCGCTAGGATCAGCAGATATTTTCTTTTTAATAGGTAATACAAAAATTCAACACGAATTCTTTGTTTTAAATGATTTTTTGCAAAATTTTAAAGGCATTTTGGGTTCTGATTTTTTTACTAAATACGGCATCAATCATAGTTTATGAAAATTTTGATTTGACAGTCAATTTGTAATAATTTTACATCAATTCCCGTAAGATGCTAAGCAATTATTATTATTTTACGTTATTTTAAAATAAATAGTCATTTAGATTACATTGTAATCAATTAAAAATATTTACTTTCTAGCAACGGTGTTATTTTTAATAGAAATAGACGAGTTTCTAATGTGTTGCAGAAACTCCTAAATTTCTGTCTAATTGTATAAAATAGAACACCATACTTATCACCAACACAATCACTTCTAATCCAATGAGGTTGTTCCAAATGCACTATTAGTCAAAGCTAATTAATTATTTTGTTAAGGTAGGTAATGTTAGTTAATTATTTATGAATTTTTAGTTTTAGAATTTAGGATTAAGTAATAAATAATTGTAGGTTAGAATTTTAGCGTACGTTAAACATTTGGATAAGTTGTGGTTAAACAAGGATAGTAGAATCTAGATTCTACTGTCCTTGGTGGTTAAACATAAAATTGAATCGGTGATTGTTGAAAGGTTACTAAGTCCATTGTTCAATGAAATTATATTTGATGTGGATTCCTATACAAAATCGTGACCCCGATCATTTGGTGTTAAAACGAACCAAGTCCCGTTAACGGACGTACTAACAATATACGCGTACTGGATTGTAGTGAAAGTTGAATGGAACTAAGTCACGGACTTAGTCATGTTTTCCCATTCTGATTGCACTGTTGTGCGTATGTCTTATTTCCTACCGCGTTGCCGTCACTTTTGTTAAAATGGAGGTTCAAGAAGTTGCTGGGATAATAAGTGGTAAGAAAAGATCTAAAAACCCTGAAACCTACAAAAGAAACATTATCAAGAAAGCCAATATAGAAGGAACTGAATACACTAATTACGGTGGGAAGTTAATTCTTGCAAAAAGTATTTGTCGAACATCTAACTGGTAAGTGTTAACTTTTCTAGGTTAGGTAACAGTGTCTGTATGCTTGTTGATCTTTTTAGTTGCAAAATAAAACGCTGTTTGGAAAAAGTTAACTTTACGGAACGAACCTCTATACTTGCTGTATTTCACGGTTTAAGCAGCAAAAATGAACAAGACTTGCATTTGCAGCGGTTGATCGAATTTAATTCTATTAAACGAAGAAGACCACGTGTTACAGAAAGGCAACACGAAACTACATTGCGACAAGCTTGTTTTGAATATTTTATATTAAACAACAATAAACGTGTCAAAGTCTGCCGAAAAGCATTTGCTCAGCTTCACCGTATATCCGAAAAACGTATTCTACGAATAACCCAGTTGCTTGTTAAGTCGGAAACGCCTAAAGATAAAAGAGGTACGAATCCAAAAACACATTGCATTCCAAAATTAGTATGTAAACAGATTCACGACCACATTCAGTCGTTTCCAACAAAAACTACGCATTATTCGGGTCGTAGTATTCAATACTTAGATGCTAGACTTGATGTTAAAACAATGTTTGGTTTGTTCAAAGATAAATTCCCTAACACAAAAGTTAAATACGAATTCTATTTAAAAACTTTCAATGAAAATTTTGCACTTCGATTTGGTCGTCCGCAAATCGATGTATGTTGTACATACATGCGAAGAGCTCTCCGTGAAAATAAAAACTCCACATTTATCAGAAAATGTGAAACGTGCTGCAAAAGGAGAACTGACTGTTCACAAAAGAAGAACCAAGAAATTTTTTACTGCTCTCAAGAATACAGGAGATGAATCGAAAGCAAATCCAACAATTTTAGGTCTGGCATTCGACTTTATGCAGAATTTGCCACTCCCACATACTCCAGTTGGTGAAATATTTTATTTAAGACAGTTATGGGTGAACACGTTTTGCATTCATAATCTAAAAGATGACAACTCACAGATTTACATGTACCACGAGGGAATCGCCAAAAAAGGCGCAAACGAGGTGTGCTCATTTATTTATGACTACATAACCCATAATGTTCCTGTGGAAGTGACTGATCTATATTTGTACAGCGATGGCTGCCCTGGGCAAAACAGGAACCATACGATGATAAGAATGTGTCTTGCGCTAGTAGAAAAGGGGAAGTTTCAGAAAATTGTTCATCGTTTTCCAGTTCGAGGGCATTCATTTCTCCCCTGCGATAGGGACTTCGCAGTTTTTAAAAGAAAAATTAAAAAAATTGACAGAGTATTCGTGCCTAAGGAATACTGCAGCATCATAGCTAACAGTAAGAAAAATGTAACAGTTAAGATGGTATCTACTGATGATATACTGAATTTCAGTAAGTGGTGGCCTCCTTTGTATAAAAAGACAGCTCTTTCGGATGACAGTAGAGGCAAAAATGTATCTAAAGATAAGAAAATATCTTTCACGCCGTCACAGTTTTATGAATTTACATACTCCTCGGAACATCCTGGAAAAGTAACTACTAATACTTTTATTAACGGTTTTATGAAGTACACTTTTGATTTACGACAGTGTGGACATCGCAAAATTTGCATGTCTTCCATACCTAAGGCGTATCCTGCTAGAAACGTACCCATTAACAGCAAAAAGCTTGACAACATTAGACAGGTTGTTAAATATGTCAACGCTGAAGATGATGAAGCTCGAGCATTTTACGAGGAAATTTTGCAGTGGCCAACCACAGAAAACGAGGTGGAAGATGATTAAATTATTATAACTTTAATGTGTTCATTTGTATGTGTTATTTGTTCAATAAAGTGTATTCGTTTCAGTCATAACTACTTAATTTTATTTTACTTATTGTTGAAAAGTACTATGTCCTTGCTTTAAAAAAAAGAGAAAAAATACAAAAATCAGAAATCATCATTATATCTGTAAGATAAACGCCTCTTAACCAATTTACTTTCATAATTTTGACAGCATGTATCAATGAACTAAAATAAGTGATTTCTAGACATATTTTTTTAATTTACTCAAAACGTTGATTTTTGGACTTAGCATCCTTTCAACAATCACCGATTCAATTAAAGGACAAATAAAATTCGCTTAATAGAATTGGGTTGTTGTTCTTGAAAATATAATTATTTTACTACTCTTTACTATTCTTTGAAATAAAAGCATTTCCTTATTACTGATAAGAAATAATTTAACAAACAATTTATTGATATCCAAATCTCTAAATTGGAGTTATATTGTTGTAAAATGTCGAGATATAAGAAATAAAAAATTTTAATTACACCAATAATATCGAACGTCCTGATAAAGGCAATTAAAAATTCATATAAAAAGGCGAATCTTTTAAAATCGTTCGAGTTTCTATTTGTCGAAAAAATGAAAACTTTCTTTATTTTCTTTGTCTCATTTTTTGCATTTACATTTGCTAATGATATATCCAATTTTGCTAGTATAGAGTCTACATTAAAACTGGTACACGTTGTAAGTATTACTTATTATGAATTGGGATTACTTTGTATAATGATAATATTGTATATGTTATTTAAATGTCTTATTCAAATCATTTGATAACAAAAATTTCCAAATTATAATATGGAAGAAATCCATATGATCTGATTACAGCTAAAAAAAGGAAATCCATTTTTTGAGTTAAGAACACTGTCATAGGTATAATTTTGTGTTTAAAGTTGACTTAATTAAATTTTTGATAATTTTTTCCGTGGGATTCATTCAATAATAGTTTATTTAACTATAAATAAATTATTGCTTGATGCTTGCATATTCAAAATTAATTCACACGAAAAAGCAAACATTACTAAACACTTTCTTCACTCTTTAACTGTGTCTAAGGTGCATAACGTACCTTATTCTAATTAACTACTTTGATGCTTAACCGTACGTAGAAAGTTTTTTTTCTGCGATTCCAAACATCAACAGATATTGTGTGCTTTTTAAAACAAGTCAAGAAATTGTGTGTGAAATCTTAGTTGATGAAAAAACAGCTATGATTATAAAAGTTACATTTTTATTAAAGATTTTTCGGCATGGTGATAGAACTCCTGACTCATTGTATCCAAAAGATCCATACACAGAAGATGATTTTTATCCATTCCGAATTGCTCATTTAACGAATAATGGAAAATTAAGAGCTTACAATATTGGAAGATATCTTCGTAAAAAATACAACAATCTTCTCGGAGATGTTTATACTCCGGATGTTTTATATGGAATATCTTCGAATGTACCAAGATGTAGAGCAAGTATAGAATCAGTTTTAGCAGGTTTATATCCTCCATCTGAAGAATTAATTTGGAATAAAGATTTGCTTTGGGAACCGATTCCTTACGATTACTTACCAATGAATGAAAACAATTTATTTCTTCCTATTTATGCTTGTCCAAATATGAACGTATTAATGGAAGAGAATTACAAAAATCTCGACTCTGATCCGATAATTCAAAAATATAAGCATTTACTTCCGTATTTAATAGAGAATTCCGGTTTGACTGGAAATCTTTACACCGTGGCTGGACATTTATGGTCAACATTAAAATCGGAGGAAGAAGCCGGTTTGGAAACACCAGCTTGGGCTCAAACGGTTTATCCGGAAATTTTAACAGAACTAACAAAGCATGGTTGGAAATTATATACAGGGTCAAGCGATTTAAAGATTTTAGCTGGTGGATTCTTGATGTCGAAAGTTATTAATAATACTTATTCGACTATAAATGGCGAGAATGAAGCAAAAAATCGAAAAATTTATTTATATTCAGGACACGACCTTAACGTTGGCGCAGTTTTGTCTTACTTGGACAATTTCGTTCCCCATGCTATCAATTATGGAGCTCATATTATTATTGAAGTTCACAAGTATCTTGGAATTTATTTTTTGAAGGTAACAAATATAACATTTTTTAAGTAATTTTGCTAATGTTCATATTTTTAGTTTTTACATGAAAATAATGATGATGATGAGGAGCCTCAACCTCTTTTCATTCCAAATTGTGGAATCTATTGTCCAGTAGAAGTTTTCGTCCGATTATACTCCAAAGCTTTAGATCCAGCTAACTTAGATGCTTTGTGTACAGGTTAAAAAGTTATTATTTTTATAGATATGTACTTATTGTTATATTTGATAAATTATACAAAAACATTAACTTTACCACAAAATAGGGTCAATGCGCCTGTTTTCGACCAATTAGCAAGAAAATTAACTATAAGGGCAAGTATAACACAGAAAAAATGTTTAAATACTATTCAGTTTTTGAATGACAATATTTAGGGTTTAATAAATAATTTAGAACATTTGTATTATAACATTAATTTAAATAGTACTTATTAATAATTGTTTAAAAAGTGTAATTTTAACCGGTTTTCGACCATTTTTACACTAGTTTTCTAGTAAGTCTACTAAATGAACGATTTATTGTAATGTCATAAGAAATAGATAAATTAAATATTACCGAGGAACTTTATCTCAAAATCTTTTTTTTATAATATACTGGTTTTGAAAAAACCTTCAATTTACAGCTTAATATAAATTACATTTATACTCTTTGGTTACAATGATATCACAAGGTAAATTATGGAAACTTGTACATTTTTTATGATACCATTTATCACAAAAATCACAACCTATGTTTAACTCGTCTTCATTCACTGTGTCACTATTTAAAATTTCACTACAAAGAGAACATGCTATTTTCGTTTGATTTTTTAGAGTTTGACGTGTATACCTGTAAACTGTTTACAACGTAGACCAAATGCATTTTCGCTACATAGTCTACTTCTGCTATGTTAGTAGGAATTTCCTTTTGATTTTTGCGTTTTTGCCTTTTTGGCTTGCGTGTTGAAAAGAGATAGAATTCATTACTAATTTTTTAATTTAATTTAATTTTATTTATTTAAAGGGATTTCACGTTTTATTATTGATTTGATTTAGCTTGTATTTTTCACTTTCATATAAGATTGTTTTTGTTCTCCTATTTATTCTTATTTGGCCTTTATATTAACTTTAACTTTCAACTTGCTCGCTAAACAGATGTAATGAAAAATAATTTTTTATGACGACCCCTTTTGATTCTTCACCTGCGAAATGCTACTCCAAACTAGTCAGTTACAACCGTGCCTGATGACGATTTAAAAAAAATCGAAACATATGTAGCACCGAATTCAATAAATTATTCTTCATCATAACCACCCTGCTCTTTAATTATTCAATTTTATATGATGAATCTGGAGAAATCAATAGCTATTTTAGCTAGGACATAAAAGATCTGTGGACTCGTATAAAAATAGAAAACACTCCAGAAGTCGACTATGGGAATCCAGAAAAAGAAACTGATACCTACGAAAAAGAAAAAATGGCTAACCCATTACTCATATTTTTATTATTTCAGGAGTTTACATATTAATCGATCTTCTGAGAGGCAAGAGAAATAGAAGACATTTTAGAGAGAGAGAAGGATGTAATAAAACGAGATAGGGTTTTATTAGAAAAAGGGAGAGAGGAAAACAGATATAATACAAAACAAATGGGTCATAGAGGTAATGTGGATGGCGTCGTACTACCTAAATTCACCCCGATGTTGTTAACTCATTAACGGCATTACAATGGGTGAAGAACTTGGAAACAACTGCTAATATTTTTGGATGGGATGTGGATAATCTATTGTTTAATGCTTTTTCCAAGCTTGAGGGGCCAGCAAAGCTATGGTATGACGGAACACATAGTGAAATTCATGATTTGAAGACCTTTAAAACGGCAATTATTCATGATTTTCCAAATTTAGTTGATGAAGCCGATATTCATTTTGAACTCAGTAACCGGAAGAAAAGATTTAATAACTCATATGAAAATTACGTTTTCAACATGAAAGCAATAGGCCGGCCCGCGCCGACTATATGTGCAAGGTAGTGCATCGCACGACGGCGCTACTTGAATAGAGGTGTCTACCCTGCCGTAAACTGAAAAGATTTTGTCCGGTTCGAATTTGGATAAGAGTTGGAAGAATTTTAAAAATGTCTATCTAATTGTGTCTCAAAATAGACACATTTATGATAAACTATTTCCATCATCTGTTTGCATGGAAGAGTATATCAGTGCCAGTTCTTTGTCTGCGGATTCATCAGAAATTTCAAACGATGTAAATGAACACACACTATTTCATTTCTTATAAAAATGGATAATGAATCATGGGAGAAAATTAAACCGATGGATATTTCATACAATGACAAGAAGAACACGTCGCGCTTATATACTATTTTGCAATGTGGTTGGACCGACACAATGTACAAGGGATTTTGGGAAGTCTTACTAATTTGCCATGTCGTTTGATTTTTAAAAAGGCAAAAGTGGCTCCGAATGGATTATATTATTTAAAAGTATTTGGTCATTGCTCCGAATGTAATTCGAAATTCCAAGGATCCACCTATAAAAAGCCTTCTGAACACGAAGATGTATTGATTCGTTGTTCATTAAGTGGTGAATTTTAATAATATTCGTCATCAAAACACAACGGCTTTTAAATAACGAGTCTGCCCTTCGTATAAGAGCGTTAGAAGCGCGAAAAACAATGTATGGTGAAAAAATGCCAAAAGATTTACCATCATTATTGTCCTACGCATGGCAAAATATCAACATTGCAAATCCTTGCAATACCAAGACTATCCTATTATGTCTCTTTATTTGATGAAGTTTGATTTTTTTGTCCATTATTTGGGGGTTCAACGGTATGCTCAAGGACAGTAAAAAAGTTGCATCTTCTTTAGTTGTTGATGCAAGCTTTAAATGCCAAGAAACATTCAGACCACGAAAAATTAAAAAGCAGTTCTCTTATGAATGCGAAGATCAACCCATACAGAATGAAGAAGTAAGCTTTAAAGTGAACTCTCTTAAGTAAAAGGTTTGAGCTGCTATCTCAACATTCTGAAATATTTAATTTTTTATGGAATCTCTCCGAATTCAATAAATATCATCAAGAAGACCAGCTTAAACTTTGTCAAAAACTTGAAACAGCATTAAGTGACAAAAGTAAGAGCGACATAAATGGAATTGATCTTATGCATGAACTACAGATTTTGCAGAGCTTCGGGGATAGTCTTACATCGCCCGTTAAAGCTTCAAATTATATAGTTGATAACAATCTAACCCATTAATTTCCTAATATCTATATGTATTGTTCTATAGATTTTGTTAACAATTCCAGTCTCAGTTGCTACAGTAGAGAGATCATTTTCAAAATTAAAAGTAATTAAAAATTATCTGCGGTCTACTATGGGACAAGATAGATTGGCAAATCTTGCAATCATATCTATTGAGAGTGACATTTTACAAAAATTAGATATATATTTAATAATAGGGCAATTTGCTAAAAACAAAGCCAGAAAAGCTCAGTTTTTGTAAGATTCATTTCAATATACGTATTTTCTATTAATTTTTTGTTAACACGTGGACTACTCGTGATCGAACTATTTTATGTTAAAGTTATATTATCTTATGTAAATATTGTTTATTTAATAAAGGCGCTCATTAAATATGTGCACGACAGCGCTGATTAGGCTTGGCGCGAGCCTGGCAATAGGTAATAAAGGGGGAGTCAGTGAAAGAGCTATTATTAAATATATTATTAATGGTTTATTTGATGAATCCACTTTGCGTAAAGTATATTTACCAAAAATGTATAAAAAGGTACGAATAATTATTTTTAGGTCAGTGCTGATGAAACTAAGGACGTTGTAGGTCGATGCGTTATAAATGTTGTTGCTGAAATACTGCATCCTTCTGATATTGTTAAACCGTACTTACTGGCAACTAAATTCATCGATAATAAGTGGTGAAGTAATTGCTAAAATAATTAATGATGTTTTAGCTAATGTATTCCAACATACATTCTACAACTACTACAATAACTTTGTATTATTTGTTAGTGATTCTGCTGCTTACATGTTAAAAGCTGGATAAATATTAAAAGTTACATATTCAAATATACTTCATGCAACATGCGTTGTACGCAACATTCAACGATTGTGAGTTCATTAGGGAAGAATTTCCAGATGTAGATAAATTAATTAGCTCCAGCAAAAAAAAATTTTTAAAAGCTCCTCAAAGAATTTCATTGTATAGAGAAATGTGTCCACATCTACCGTTACTCTCACGATGGAGTACTTGGCTAGAGGCTTCTTTATATTATGCTCAACAAAACAGGTTATAGATTACAAGAAAAAACGTTAACTACACAGAATATTAAATTAACTGAAGCGATAGAAATGGGAAGAAATGCTGAAGTAACAAAAAAATGTTTAGAATGTGTGAGAAACAACGAAGAATTAGCAATTAATACCATAAATAAGAAGAATAAAAATATCCAACGGAACAAAGAATGGAAAAGTGCTCAAACGTGGATGTATGGTGAATATCCAGCTTGACGAAACAAATCGATACGCAAGTCAGTTAATTAACAGCAAGCTTTTTACCCGTTCTAGTCGAATGAATAGATGGAGAGATACTGACAAAGATGAAATAAAAAAATTTCTTGGGTTCATAATGTTTATGGGAATTGCAAAATACCCAAAAATAGAACAAAGTTGTCATTTAATGACGTTTGAAGAAAAAATCTATTATATTTCCACTTATTAATGCATAACAATTTGATGAGTTACAATCGATTTTCAACACTTTTAGGTTGCTTACATTTTGTAGATAACAGTAAAATATGAGAAAATTCTGATAGATTATATAAAGTTAATAGAAAAGGTCATGGCAAATATTAAAAAAAAATTAGTCTTTGCACGTTCACTCTGGTCAGAACCCGTCCTTGGATAATTTAGATAAACTAGGGTCAGTGGTAGTAAATCTAGGACAAGATTTGCGTCATAAGTTCAACACAAGAATACAACACAAATGTGAGAAAATTGAAGCGT